AACACTAAATATAGAAAGTTCGATTTGTATATTCTCAATATGACGAATATTCCGGAACAGTAAAAGAATAGTCTCAGAATGTGCAAATGTCGATGAAATATTTAGAATATTTTATGAATACTCCTTCCTTGTATATATCACAAAAATTATGCGAGAGAGCAATACACATTTTCGCCAACAAAAGGTTGCGAGAATATTCATGAATAAGAATCATCTGGGAAAAAAATATAAAAAACATTTCGTCTGTGAAGTGAGCTGTAAAGGAGAAAACATGAAATTTGTTCTTTATAGACATAATCTTTATAGACAATTTTATTTAAAAAATTATTCAGGGATTAATTTTTGGAAAAATTAAAATTTTGCGGAATATATATAATAATATATGGAACATTCTCGGAATATTATATGTAACGATATATAGAATTTTTAACCAATATTTGAATGTTTTTACATTTTTTTAATGAATATTGCAGGAATTTAAAGTTAACTGGATGCACTTTCTTGAATATTATTTGAATAAACATCAGTATCAATATTTTCTATATTTGTACCACTACAACTTAGTATATCACAAAATGTATTCATTTTGTTTAAATAATCAGATTAAAATTTTTTATTTGTCGATATTTTTGCGCTTAGAAGTTTATTAAATTGCATTGTAAATAAATATTAAGAATATCTTTTCCATGTCAAATTTTGATTTTGAAAAATACTTTCAATATACGATACATTTTCGTAAAAAATAGGTTTGACAAGAAAAAAGAGTAATTATTCAGTTTAACCTATGCCATCTCAAAAATCAATGAAATTAAACTTATTCGTGTTTTTGCATAAAATAAAAGACTCTGTTCTGTGAGACTGATATTAATCATTAAAGTTTATGACTATTCAAGTTTGGAAATCTGTCACAACTACGAAATATTGCGATGCAAACATGCGCTGCTATATTTACATTCTTTGTGACCACATGCGTTTTAGGCATTTCTCGTTGTAATATTCTTATCACATTATTCATTGGAAATTGAAGAAATTGCGAATTAAAATTTTAGACCAATCAGATAATTTTAATTTTAGTCTGTTATTTCGTTATGATTGGCTGAATTCTAATCCTTAATTCACAATCCTCAATCTCCAATGCGTAATGTAATACGCGCATTAGAATGCCTTTATACATAATTCGTAAATTGCAAAACGTAGTTCACAAATGCTAACGCAAAATGACAATCACTCCACGTAAGATGAAAACTAACTACACGCAAATGAAAAGACAAATGCAAATCTTCATTTTATGTTTGCGTTACGAATTACGTTTTGTGATTTGCGAATTATAAAAAAGCATCTTAATAGAGTGTACGAAATTCGAGGAATGACTCTACACTATACTAAAAATAATAAAAACTGAACAGATTAGACAGATCTTTATGTAAGTATAGGTAGAGTGTGTATTAATTTAAGGATTCTTATACATTTCCTATACAACGCTCATTAAATTTTATGAATAAATTACTGTGAATACCAGTCCGTTTCCATATATAAGAATCTGCCATGGGCTATGTCGGATTTTTAAATAAATTTTATTTTGACTGCCAAGTCATTTTCATATAGGGTCCATGTCAGATGCTAGGTCTTTTTTTTATGGGCTATGTAAGATTCTTTCAAGTGATTATAGCGTGGCAAAGCATCATGACACTGCCGAGGACATTTCTATGTGAACAAATAGTATTATCATTGTTATGAATGAACAAGTAATATTATGATTTTTGCATTTTTCAAAATTGATCATTATACTGTCATTCATCAAAAATTCATTATTCTCGGCGGTTTGCCATTGCTTTCCGAAAAGTGATGATGAAATAAAATCATCTTATAGATATTGTGGATTAAATCTTTGATATATAAAACAGCTATGTAACTCTTTATATCATCAAATTTTAACTATTGAATAACATAATTTAAAAAATGTCTCACTTTAGCATTATAAGAAATTAAGTAATGAAAAAAGGTAAGAAATCATTACTTTCTAAGTAATGGTAATGGTGACGCATTATTTTCATTATAAAAATAATGTTTCCAATTTTGCTTTAGGGAAATAACAAATGTTGGCAGATAATAACTTGTCATGTATAAAAATTTAAGTGTATAAAGGATTAAATTAAGCGCTATTCGTAAAACAAAAGGACGTTACGCAATATAATAATTTTAAATTATTAAATACTGTATGAAAATTATTACATATATACTGCATTTCACATATTTAGGTAATAATATATGAAAATATGATTATGAAACAGGTATACCATCACGTGACAAACAACGTTAAAGAAATTAGTAGAAAAAATGTTCGTATATTTGAATACTGTAAATTGTACATTATTATAAATTTTATTAATTACATAAAAATTTCTTATTGACGATAACAAATGCTGAAATGTTTTATAATAGAAAAGGATATTATTTAGGATATTATTTCGTAAGGCATTGAATTAGGATAAATTGCTTATAATATTCGTGAAGCAATGTTTGTGTTTTCATTTTCTTTTGTATAAATAACATATTATATATGTATAAACAACATGGATCCAGCAAATCAAAACGTAACTTAGAGAGCAGTTATATAATTTAGTAAGAACAATGATATATTTCATAGACATGTAAGTGTCACTTACGCCTCCATGAAATATATCATTGTACATTATATTAATAATCATAGTACGTTATATAATCATAATAATTATTTAAAAATGTAATCTAACACACATTTAACTCTCAAAACACATAACATAAATACAACTATGATCTTTCAACAATTTAATGAATGTTATACTTACATATTACATATAAAATATGTATACAGATAAATTGAATTTATACAAGTTCCAGCCGTTAGGGGTGTTTCTAGAAGATGCTACTAGTATTTTTTGTATCATTCTTATGTTCATCCTTATTTTACATTTAATAAACGATATAGATGAAATGATACAAATAGTTCTAATAATGCCTTTCCGAACACAATAAATGTTGCAGATTGCTCACGATCAGTTCAAAATTGAATGTTATATATCTAACGCATCTTTTTTTATATACATTTTACTCATTCTTCATAGCATCCATTTTTATCATTATATCCATTTTGTATATATTTTATATAGTATAGAAATATGTAAAAAAGACGTTTATATTACATTGCAGTAATAAATATATTAATGATATTTCTGATATAGAAATGATGTGTTCGATTGCTGACATAAAACCGTATCAGTACGCTATATTTATTTATTTTACAAAATGTTATATGTAATATTCTTGATATTCGTGTATTACATCTAAGTTACATGTTGTGATTTGCTGGAAATTCCATTATAATGAGAATTACTCCATCATTGACAATATCAAATTTAAAATTATTATATAACTATATCTGGACAAAAATAGTGTAATGATAAAATAATTAAATATTCACACTTATGTACTGTATGTGTAATTATAAAGCAGCTATTAAAGATAAAAAGCGATATGAGAGTGGTTTAATCCACATAAATGAAACGGGAAATTTTTACATATCGTTTTACAGCAGGAAAATTTACGGAAAATTATTATTACTATTATTATGTTACTATTATTACTATTATATGTTACTATTATTTATTATGTTACTATTATACATCATTTGCTCTTTGAGTATTAATATGCATTTTCGATATCAATATCAAAAACGTGTTCAAAACATTCTAACTTATTCTAAAATAAATGAATAAAATGTCATCAAAGAGTATTTATTTCTATCTCCGAGAAAATACACGACGAAATGAACACTCAATTAATTACACTATAACCGAGTCTAATTAAAAGAAGGTTAATTCATTTTTCGAGAATAAAGTCTTTATAACAATTTTCATTTTATAGTAACTTCATTTAAGACTACCTTTAAATATTTTAAATACTTATAAATTTCTAACATCTGAAGCATCTTTGTACGTAAAATACACCTTTCTTAACGTACACCTCAAAATTGAGCAATAAATTATTTTATTATTGAACATTTTTAAAAACACTGTCTTTTTATAAAAATAAATGAAACATTACATAAAAATTTTAATAATACTAATTTTTAACGATTTATTAGGACTGTATAATGTGAATACACAATAAGTAAGAAAGAATGCCTATACCAGTCGATGCTTTAAATAATTTTATGTGAATTTATAATATATCATATTATAGTCTCTTGAATTGCACGGCAAATTGGTTTTTCAGACTTGAAAATGCAATTGAACTTTGATGCTATAATAATATCGTAAATTAAATTGACAAGCAATTTAATAATTTGATGTTTAATTGCATAACTTTTAGGCATCTTATTATTTTTAGGAGATCTTAATGTATTGAAAATCTATAAATAAATTTATTACGAAAAATATTACCTCCAGAAGTCGAACCCGGATCTCTAGCATTCCGTGCTAGCATCCTAATGCGGAGTCTACAATAGAAATCGTAGCGATTACAGTCGAATATGAGAAGAATAATTGAGTATGAGTCAATTTTCTATGACTTAAAACCGTACGACTGTTATGACTTCTATTGTCTTCGCATAAGACTTCGCATAAGCCTTTAGATCAAAGGAATCTTAGTAATATTTCTCGTAATAATCAATATGGATAGGAACATATTTTTCACGCAACGTGTATAAATAATAATAAATTAAATAACTTAAATGCTAATTTTTCTATACGTCCAAATAGATTTCAAAATTATTATTCGAAAATAGAACTTGATTAATTATTTTAAAAAAGAATATACAATACAATATATAAGAACATATAACTATAAATTATATCATATATTATATTTTCTTAATATTTAACTAAATTTTTTTCTGTGAAAATATGAGATAATAATAAATAAAAAAATGTGTTAAATTTAAATTTCGTATTTAAAAATGAATAAAAAAAGTAATTCATTTCTTTTAATGATCAAAGTAGCATTGATCGTGTAGTTGTGCGGTCAGTTGATCAGTGAATCAATCGAGCGGGATGACACTATGGTACACACTATGGTGAACCTTCTTTATGTGTCGCTGAAAATTGCATCGTTGATGAATCCTCTTGTTACAATAGGGACACGAATTTTGCGGCTCCATGTTGCATTCTTCTCGTAGATGACGATTTAAGGTGCTCTTGTTAACGTAAGATTTAATACCGCACTTATGGCAATTATATCGTTTATGAGGAAGCGTATTCCGCGACCTCCGCTTCGTTCTACCTGTAAACAAAATTTGAATAGTTATTAATGCGTACGACATTTATTCAGCATTCGACAAATATGTGCTCGTGATCTTTATGATGCGGTGTTTATGCGGATTGAGACTTGTTTATCTTACCTTCAGTTGGTTTTATTCAAATTATTGGAATTCAAATGATAATGTTTGTGATTAACAATGATTAGATCTTGACAATTCACAGGAAATGACGTATTTGACAAACCCAAAAACATTTATATTGCTTGATGTAAAGGATTCTTGTAATTATCTCTTAATTATAATATCAAAAAAACATTTTTAAAGCATGTATTTTTCATTTTATTTGTTTCAATATGTTATTTTAGCATTTTCCAAATCTTCAAGTCATACTTTTGTTGACAAATCGTCTCATTTACAAAAATAATATATTTAATGTAATGGAATATGAAATTTTCGGTTATTCAATTGTGCGCATTAATTTAAAATACGCATATAATATAATTTTATAAATTAGCAACTATATAAACTACAATACAACACAGTAAACGGGATCACATATAAGGCCTCGATGAATTTCATTTAACATCCAAATTACAAAAATTAGTCAACTTATCACAGAATTATTTTGATTACAAAATTGAATTTAGTGAAAAGAGATCTTCCAGCGATGCAGCTATCGATCTCATCAAAATTCTTAAATGCTAATATACCTAATATTTTTTATACGACAGTCTAATTGTGAAAACCCTCTACACGTACACAGGTAGGAAAAGTTCGAAAAACTGGCCAAAGGTCTTGACATTTGAATAAAACTAATGTGATTTCATATTATAAATAAAATGAAGAATCTCTAACTAAATTATATAAATTATATTATATATCAGATATATTATATATCAGTTTATTTCGATCGGCAAAATGAAAGTGAAAAACAATGAAAAAGACATTGAATCTGAAAAACTTTGTTTTGTTAGCCAGTTTTCGGATTTCTATCCCGCTATGCAGTGATAAGATTATAACATATTTTTATTATGCGATAGCACATCAATGAAG